ATCTGATACAGATGTAAAGTCAAGAATTGGCAAAGCAGTGGCAGTATTCTTACGACTGAAGAGCATATGAAACTCAAAACAACTGCCAACCAAAATCAAAGTCGGAATTTTCAACATGAACGTCAAGACAGTCCTATCGTACGGAGCTGAAACTTGGAGAACTACTACAAACATTATCAAAAATGTAAAAATATTTATAAACAATTGTCTACGTAAAATGCTCCATATCCGTTAGACGGATAGCATCAGCAACAGCCTACTATGGTAGAAAACAAGTTAACTTCCAGTCGAAGAGGAAGTTAGGGAAGGACGTTGGATATGGATAAGACATAACATTGTGGAAATCATCAAATTGCACCACGAGACAGGTGTTAACTTGGAATCTTGAATGGAAAAAGTAAAAGAGGAAGACCAAGGTACACATTACGTCAGGAATCAAAGGCAAACATAAAAAGGGTGAATAGCAATTGGAAAGGATCTCTTAGGATAGAGTTGGATGGAGAATGCTTATGGTAGGCCTATACTCCTTCACGAGGGGTAACAGGCGTAAGTAAGTAAGTAAGTCCATATGAAGTATGGATTATTCATGAAACCTGGATATAAATGCCGGAAACAACGATATCTTTATTATTTTTAATTACAACATGCTGATTATATTTTACATAAATAGAAAAACAGTTTGCTAAACATAACAGTATGATAATTTATTTCATATGATTCAGTTAGTTACAAATTACACTTAGATTTATTAAACAAGACAATAGACTTAACATTCTGAATTACTGAATACAAGTATGTCACTCAAAACTTCCAATTTTTCTAATCATATGTATTTGTTATAATAAATAAGAAATTTTAATAAGGTAATAATGATAATAACTCCACCTGGAGTCCCTTTCCGGGGGCTACTGCCGGTCCCAAGCCCGGATAAAGGAGGAGGGTTGGGCATGGGGTTAGCGACCCCATCCCGTAGAAAACAAACTCGCTAAAAAAACGCTAACCAGAAAAAATTATTCAAACCATTTAAACTCTGCCCTGGGAGTCAGGAGGTCTTCGTTTAGAAGAATTATGACGCCTCATGATGAAAGCCGAGTTTCTTCGGAAGTCACGAGGCCGATGCCCCTTCTGACAACCAGAGCAACCATTTATTTAGGTACATGGAATGCTCGCACAATGTGGGAGACTGGGAGAGTTTTCCAAATTGCTGCAGAATAATGATAATGAATCACTTTTCTCTAGATTCAATAATACTACTTATTTTACCTTCAGTAGTAATTTGTATCATTGAAGTGTTATCATTCACTTAAATAATAGTAATAATATCAAAATTACCAGTGTAGAGGTTGTGGAGTATATTAAGCTTTCGATTAAGATCATGAATCGATTGATGCTGAAGAGTCCTACAATAGGAAGAAACGTACGTCTAGTGAGTCCAGGTTTTCATTGGTCGTCTAACATCGATCGGTTCATGATCTCGATCAAAATTATCTAGTTTTGAAAAAAAAAATATGAAAATAAATATATAACATCAATTTTGATTGGTTTATACACTTATAAGGTAGTTCATGAAAGAGATACTCTAACTTCAAACGATCTTGATATGTCAATATTGAATAGAAATGTATATTTCATTGAAATTAACTGTTTAGATTAGGCAAATATTTAGATTTTCTTTACTGTCTAGTGAACAAAGTAACTTTTAATGTTGTATTAATCAACTGATTCTAAGATTAACGATAGCGCTTATTCATCTATGAGATTAAGGTATATCCAACTGACGAATTCTAAATAGAAAGAAATACGCGTTCTAGATTTCACTGCTAGCCACTATCCATCTTTGCTTCATTTATAATTAAGTTCCTAAAAAGAATAGGTTTGATTTTTTAAATTTATCATTGCATAGAACATAAATGTCCTTTCATGAAGTACAAACAATATCTAAAATCTAAAGTTCACCCATAATCATATTCTAGGGTTATGGACACTTAAACGTTAATATTTCTCATAACAAACAACGGGTAATTTTATGAATTTTAGACAATATGTGCTATATTCACTTTCAGATGAGAATATTTAATTTAATTTATCTATACTATGCTGATCTTTATAATTCAGTTAGGGAATGAGATACGAGCCTTAGTTACATAATCTACTTACTGGTAAATAGGCTGTTTACTTGTATATAATATTAGTTATTTATCATCAAACAAATGTAACACATGAGTTCTAACATTTTCCCAACGGTGTTCAAACTCATCATTTACCTGTAGCTGGAGATCTAATGATTGAAGAGATTTGATTTTGATAAAATTCACTTAATATCAAATTTTGTAAACACAAAAAATAGATTTTCCAAATGAGTTTTATTCTGTACATGTTCTAGAATGTTCATTGTGTAGCAGATGATGTTTTTGGTTAATTTTGTCCTTGACACAGGACATGAAATCAATACACTAATGTTTTTCAAGGTGATTAACAAATAATCAAATTCGAATCTTTTGAAATTTGCCGAAGCGATCGAGATCAAACGTTTAAAACCAGATCTACGTACTCAAAAAGAGACAGTAATAAATCTTTCTTTACTCTAGTAACATTACACCCCTCCCTTTTTTTATTTATTACGTCATTCATTAATTCAACTCTTTCTGAAGTTTGATTACATTATTGTCGTTTTTCTTCAATTCATAGTTGACTGATTTCAATTTATATCTTTCTTTATTACCATTAATTTGAAATGAATCCTATGGGTTAAGTGTCTGAATAAATTCACTTTACAAAGAAAGTACTTTAAAATATGAATCATGCCTACCATTTGATTCATCATCAACAGTTTTTAATTATTTTCAACTTCTCTATTGTAATAGAGAATCGACTGAAAGTGATTGAGTGGTGAGGTTGAACGACGCTTGATATGAGATGATCGAAGTTTGATTCTTCTGAACGATTTTCATCAAATTTCTTGAAAATCTCATTGGTACATAGTGGATCACTAGGATAATCAGCGTCCATCAAAATTTTATTAGATTCTTGATCATCGTTTGATGCATTGTAAGAAATTTGATCAAAAGCATGTGATTCATTAAGATAACTCATATCTGGTAAAACAACTATAGAACCGCGACAAGTTGTTTTTCGTAGAATGATGAGCTGTATTTGATGCATCTGTCTTCATTATGCTGCTTGATTGATTTCTTGTTTGTTCGTGGGTGGCTACTGCAATAAGTTCATGAGCATTTAATAAGACACCGTTTTTCTGTGAGTTGGACAGGTCACTGTTTGTACATTGTGTTTCGGGGACAATGTAATTCGAATCCATTACCGTGCATGTTTCTGAAATGGACAGTACTGGACCACTAGGCGGATATTGAATGACTGCCGTTTCGTTTAAATTACGGTTTGCCAAGGATTCACGGAGGCTGCAATCATTTTCCAGCTCAGTGTGCAATTGAGAAATTAATCCATCCACTTCCGTCGCATCTCCAAAGCATGAGTGATTCAGCAGCTGCGTGCGTAATTTAACTAAGAACTTCAACTGTTGCTCAAATAGCAGCTGTAATCGATCGGAAGGGAGTTTTTTTAATCAGCACCGGTAATGAAAATTACTATATGACTAATGACCAATGTCGTTGAAGGACACTGATGACAAATCTGAATGCTGATTGCTCGAAATAATTAGACTGAATTTCGTCCAATTACAGGCTGACTTTAGATTGTTTTTTTCACCCCGTCTCCAATTGTTATATTTGGTCGTCGCTGATTGCTGTGCCGGAAAAATGCTGATCACTTATGCTTGGAACGAAGGACCTGTACAATTCCCAAGACGCGAAAGTAACAACACAAAGACAGGTATAAGTGAAGATTTATTAGCCCCCAAACATTATAACGACGACGACGATAATTCTAGTAGAAAATACACTCATTTATATATTGATTGTACAAAAATTTTGATTAATAATTAGGATTAAATCGCATACTCAATTACAACAAATCCCTTACTGAGTATGGTTCATGTCAACTGAATACAAGAATATCGTATATTATACAGAAGAAAATATCATACTGGGAAAACAAATCAAATACTACATTGAGTGATCATCACATTGAATCAAAACGGATGTAATTGACTTTTCTTTCCATCATATCAGTATTGCATATACTAATGGCTATCTGAACTCAGTAGGTAAATGAATAACGTGATCGAGTTTGAAGCGAACGGTATCAGGTTTGAGTACCGGAACGAACATCAACTATGGGTTGAAGGTATTCAGCTAATGAGTCCTAAATAGGATTAAATGCACGTCCTAGATCCTACAACTAGCTATCATCTATCTCTGTATATAATTATTACCATTTCATATTCGCGAGTTAAATAAAACCCAAAAATATAAATCAATAGATTGTGATTCAGTGGCTTAATGATCCTGAATTAACTGAATGACTTCAAAGTTTTCAATTCATTCCCTTTGAAGACATAATTAAACTATACAATTTATTATCCATGAAATCTCATTATTTAATAGATGTTCTTATAAATTTAATAATAAATCTTCATATTGTCTCACATAAAGTAAATATATTGAGGAGTGGTTACATTTGTCATTGTTATGTTTGCGGAAGACTGAACTGATTTGTGCTTGGTACTAAAAACCACAACATCCGTCAACGCAAAGTCAATACACAAAAACTGCTGATAATAATTTATTTTAACCGCCCTCGAATGCTTTTCAGGTCCCATAAGTGCAAGCCATACTTGAAGCAATGAGTACAAACTCCTCAGTTATGGAAAGTCTGATGATGAATAATCCAATAATTTCTAGCGTTAATCCAAATGTACGTGATCAAATCCGATAAATGCTCCCACAATTAGCTAACCGGATCAGTTAACTATTATTTACGAACATATTATTAAATCCTCGTGCTTTTCAAGCTATGATGCAGATCCAACAAGGACGTCAGACACTGCAACAAGAAGCCCTAGGTGTGTGTGAACTAGTTTGGGCATGTCTGCACCTCCAACTGGTCCAGGTCCAGTTACATCTAGTACAACTCCAACTGCAGAAACCCCGGCAACAATTCCAGCTCCTGGAGACGACCATGACTCCACAACAGCTGATCTTACCAGTGGTACTACGGCAAATCCGCCTAATCAAGCTGAATTGACCACACTATTATCCAGTATGCTGAATATAATGTCTACCACTAATAATGGATCGAGTGACATAAAACAATGCTCCACCTGAACAACGATTTTGAAGTTCTCGCTAATATGTGGTTTGTTAACCGGGAAGCTCATTTGCAAACACTGATCGCCACATTTGAGAATGTGATTTATTTACCGTCAGATTCGTATAAATTGAACCGAGTAGTACTGAATGTCAACTTATCAATAACTTATTATGTAAGCATTTTTACAATAGCATGAAATTAAGCATCTATAACTAACAGATATAACCAGTTGATGAAGTCATATAATTACTCCTTCACAAAATGTGGTAACATAATTCAGACGATCAATTTAATATATCACTCTCAATTCAGTGAATTAAGTCATTGATCACCATATTAAACATAAGTGAAAATAAAATTTGCTATAACTGGGATTAGAACTTCTCAATAGAAACTGTGATCTGACTGCACGTAAAATAAAAATATAAACACTGGATAACAGATGAAGATTAATCTAATCATTAAGAAAATTACTAATATTCTCAACTAAATACGTTTATTTATTGAGATCATGAATCGATCAATGTTAGACTACCATCGAAAACTTGGAAGCACTGTATGGCCGTTTCGTCCTAATATGAAACTCCTCAGCACTATTCATCTGCAACTCCGCACACACCAATCAAACTCAAGACCTTAGGTCTGGAGCGCGAACGCTTAAGCTGTAGACCACTGAGCCGACATCCAACAGTGTCAAGTGTCTAACTTCAACCAATCGACGAGGAGGAATCCCATACTAGGACGAAAAAGCCTTCCAATGCTTCCAGATTTTCAATGGTGGTCTAAAATTGATCGATTTGTGATGTCAATTAAAAACTTGACAATCTCCACGACCCTATACTGATAAATTCATTAATATACAAATTGTATTGACTTCCAGTGACTAATCAGGGGGTATCACAGTATACGTAAAATAACAGGAATACAAATAGATTCCATGTGGAATCAATATAAACGAATGTTACACTGAAAAAATAACATACTGGATCAACGTATATTACCTCATGTTTGGTATATTGACAGATAACACTAATTAGTGTTCACTGAAATAAAAGAATCTCAGCGACTTTTATTAATTCATATGGTTGAAAATTCACAGCGAAATTTGGTGAGATTATAATTTATGGACGACCCTTGTACGACGGTGAAATGGTTTTGAGAATGCCCACTTACTAACTAGAACTAATTGACGGTGTGATCAATTAGGTTTATGATTTACAGTTGATGGTTAGGGTTAGGAACTAGACTTAGCGTTCTCATCACGAACTGACATCAGCTAAAACGTCAAATAAATGGATGAATGGATTTCGTTCCAAAATCTGAGACCTTTTATCCTAAATCTGATTGGTTCGTCCATAGACTATAGTCTCACCCAAATCTGTTATCTAGTAAATGTTAGTTAAATACTTTGACCACTGATCGAATGCTTGTAACTGGCTTATAAACTAAAAAAAAACCAGAATGTTATAGAAAATGTCCATTATTCATCTTTACTATCGTGAATTAGGTAAAAACAAAACAACTTCATTTAGCGTTTACGTGATCAATATTTAACAAAGAAGATTATTTCACTTCCGACTTCATTGTTCATTAATGCTAAACACTAAATTGTTATATTGAAAACTATAAAAATGTATGTATAAACAAAATATACCTAACGGTAAATTATCATCATGAGCGTTTATGATAATTGTTAAATATTACATAGATCACAAACTAACCTAAGTTAAACAACCATTGAAAAAGTAGAATCATTGGGTATTTGTTTTCTTATAGCATGAAACTCCTCAAGAGTACAGATCTACAACCTTACCACAAATATAACTCAGGACCTTCGGTCTAGAGCTGAGTGCCTAAGCTTACGGTGGGCAACTATCTTACATCAATATCATTAAACTCTAGTAAGCATGATTTTTTTACTAAAACCTTAATATCTGAGATCAATATTTATCCACCGCGAAACTTAAAAACCTTGAGTTTGATCCTTGTTAAGATCATGAACATGTATTATTGTCGAATCTCAAGTTAGAAACAAACATTTATCCATTACTTCCTAGTATTAAGTAGATATCTAACTTGGATTGATCTATAATCTCAAGAAACTATCACTAAGAGAATAATTGAACATATTCAGAAATAAGAATTAATTCAGGTTATATTCGTTCTATATTTTGTGTGCGTGTGAAGTTATAATGAAACATCTGTTTGAAGTTAATCGGATGACATAATCAATCGAACTAATTGTAAGACAATTAACTTGTTATGTGAATAACATTACTGATTAAGTGAACTAGATTTGTTGTTAAGTTATGCATGAAACTCTAATGGTGATGCGTTTTCTTTCTTTTTTTTTTTGAGGAATAAATCGTTTAATCTATCTTTTCGATCTTTTGTCAATTAATTTATTGAATATATGCTAGTTTATCTATTCAATATGACTTGATCTATTATCAGAAAAAAATATTATAAATAAGTATTTTAAATTGAGATAATGGTGGTTAAAAGTGGAATTCAGTATGTGAGTTTCGTCCTATTTTGGACTCTTCAGATGGATATACTTAAATCTCAGAGTTGATGTAGATATTTATGGCTGATCATGTGACTATCTGAACTCAATAGCTAAGTGGATAACGTGATAGCGCCTGAAGTAAATGGTGTTGGGTTGGAGTGTCCAAGTGGCTGTCAACTCTTGGATGCAGGTATGTTCAGCTGAAGAATTTCATATCAGACGAAATCTACACTCTTGATTATATAGATAGAAACCAACATCTCAGCTGATAACGCTTGCAATTGAAGGTAATATCAAGACAATCTGCACAAGATGCACATATGTCAATAAGAGACTGGTCGATTGCAGTCCTAATCATCAGTGGGAAGATTCAAACAAGCAATACAAAAATGAACTAAGTGTTTGCTCAGTTTATTTCAGATAAATATAAGAGAAGTTGGATAAACTTATTATAATTTGTGGCCCCATTAATATGTAATGTAATTATACTGCCAATTAGAGAATAGTGACTTATCAACTGGATCAATGACGCATAAAACCCGTACAAGCAGTCTGGAGTCCTTATCGGTCCTACTTCCCGCCTAGTCCAGAACACCGATCTCGGCCTCCGCGATATACATCATGTATTACAAACATACTGGGTTTATATACAAACCAAACAGATTACATCGTACCATAAAATAGAAAATAAAATTTGTACGAGATCTAACTAAAAGTGGTTGTGAATGAGGGAGACTGTAATTAATAGACTGAACAGAAATCAAGAATGGTAAATCGTATAATAATAGTTAATAGATTAAAATAAAGCTCCTAATAAGAGGAGTGTAGATATACACAATCTAGTTACTGAATAATCATACTTTAAGAATATACGCATAATATTTGTCCATAAGTAGTTCACAAAAGTTACAATTCATAATTCTCGCCGGGGTATAACAAAACTCTCTTTCTCTTTCATAACCTGAGATAATCTTGAAGGGAACTATTTAAAAATAACTCATTTCAAACTAATAATTATTCTAAATAATATAAAACTCAATGATGATTCGTTCAGGACCGGTTTAGATTGATTCTTACACTGTGTTCACTTTTGTTAACCTCTGAATCTAGAATGATGTTCTGAAGAAGGTTGGAAGCCACATGTTTATCAGTAGCTTCAACCTGTTTCCTCTAAAAGCCACAACCATTAACAATTGAGTGATCACTGCATAGTTGACTAATGTCATGTATGTTAGGTCCTTTTTAGTACAGATCAAATTTAATCGATCAAGTTGCAATGTGGACAATAGCACTATGTTGAACCTTAAGGTGGTGGTTGAGGTGATCAACAAGAAACCCTGAACCTAGGTCTTGTCCCAATTGGCACTCCTTAGCAATTTCATCCATAGAATTAGATCTGTACTAAAAAGGACTCAACATACATGACATGGGTCACCACCCAGTGATCAATGAAATGTAAATTTATTGCACTATCTTACTGTATGCGAAATATTCGCCAAAGATCATTTACCTAGAGACTGTTTCGCTCAAAGATAATTCGAGATGGTTCGTTTCTTGAACAGTTTTTTCTTAGCATTATAAGTTTATTTGGAAGAACCTTAACGGTCTCCAATAGGGATTACTGACTCAAATTATTCAGAATAACTTTGTTATGATAGTAGGAACTGAAATTCCCGTTTTAAAAGAAAAACCCTTTTACTGGTTCCTTCTAATATAAAATTCATTTTTCAAAGAGGACAAGTGAACGAAAATTGGCAGCAATATTGTGAATTGTCGGGGATGAGAACATTCTGTCTGCTATTCAATTTATATAATCTGGTTAGCAGAACGAATATTCAGATATTTCAGTTTTACCTCATAGAAGAAATCGGAAGATAACCGACACATGTGATCGATGCAGATTTGCTTTAAAATGAATTCATGCTTTGAGTTTTATTTAGCTACAGATTATCATATATAGTTTGATGGTGGCTAGCAGAGGAATCAAGAATAGACTTTTCATCTTATTTGGGACTCGCCATATGAATACACTTGAACTTCAGTGTTAGCATTCATACTGAGATTTGAAGAAATTACCTTTCATTTCAAACGCCATGCACTTTTTCGGCTGGGTTACTGATTTCTGATAGCCAGTAGCTTGTTCGTTGTAAATGAATTTTTATTTCATTTGTAATGGTTTTAATGTTGCCTTTGTTAATCATAAGGACTGAATGTTTATCAGTTTCTTTTGGATTAAATGGACGATTTGAGAAATCAGAAGGGGTTTAGTGGATATCATATTAATTTTAATGGTTGAGATCGTAAGTCAATTGAAGCTAGATCATTATAGAAAACCTGGAAACACTGGACGACAGTTTCGTCCTATTGTGGTACTACTCAGCAGTGCGCATCCACGATCAGTCTCGCGCGCGAGCGTTTAACCTCTAGACCACTGAGTTGGCCGGCGTTCAACAGTGTTAATGTCTAACTTCAACCAATCTACGAAATCCTGCGACACATCCACCA